GATTACTGAATATTTATTGGCTATAATCTCTAATAATCTGATAATCTAATAATTTGGTAATCTTTTTATTAGGTAATTTATATAAGAGTAGCAGAATTTTAAAAAGTATGATAATTAAAATAAATTAAATTTTAAAAACTTTAAAATAAAAATTAAAAACTTTATTTATTTATTTTTTTTTATAAAATATTAGCTTAAATATAAAGAAAAAAAAAAGTTTTTAAAATTTAAAAAATATTTTAGTATTTTCTTTTATTGTTGTTTTTTTTTATAAAAAAAAGATTATTTTAATTATTTTTAATTGTTTTTTTTTTTATAAATTAATTAAATATAAAAATAAATANATCTAAAAATTCCGGAAGGTCATCAAAACATGTGACCGAAATCAATATATTTTTAACATTTCGCCAAATTTTTTTTTTTTTGGTCTAATTTTCTTTCTGATATTCGATATTCAATCGTAAACTAAACTTTATTTATAATTTTAATTATTTTTAATTGTTTTTTTTTTTATAAATTAATTAAATATAAAAATAAATAAATAAATATATATATTATCATTCAGAAATAAAATTTGTGCGCACCCGCGCATGTACGCACCCTTCCATTTTTGGTAATTTTTATCAATCATCAATTATCACGTGACTTTAGTAACTACTTTAGTAAAATCCTGATTTTTTTAAATATTCATATCACAACTCTTATGTACATATTATAGAGCCTTAAAATTTTATTTACTATGCGTATTTTTGCCCATTCTACAACTTTACTTAATGAGCCATGAAGGGTTTAGAATGTCATTTTTGACTTTTATATATAATATATCCATGGGGGTGCGCACATGTGCAGGTGTGCACAAATTTTAAACCCTTATTATCATTCTGTCAATAATTAAAATAACTGAAAACTTTAATACTTTAACAGGTTAATTAAAGTTTAACTTATTAGAAAAGTCTTATATTAAATCACAAATAATTATGTAAAATGATATTAGATATTCAATTAAAAAAAATAAGTTTTATTAAAATTATACTTGATAAAAAATATAGGTAATTTCTTATTTATAAAATTAATGATTTTAAATTATACTACTGAAAATAATACTCTTGCATTATAATTTAAAAATTATAATGCAAATTTTTTTGACTAACTTCAACTAAATAAAATTCTAATACTATTTGTAATAAAAGTTAAAATGAAAATAATTAATAAAATAAATATAATAAATAAGTTAAATAAAATAAATTATTGCAGTTTTCAAAAATCCTATATACTATTGATCATCATATATGTAAAAGATTACCTATTACATATTTTAATTACATCTTATTTTTATGCAAAAATTTTTTTTAATATAGTTGAATATAATATTAACTATACATAATATTAGAATATACTATGGGTGTTATAAATATATGTACTGTAATTGTAATCTAAATAAAAAGAAATGTAAATATAATAAAATAATAAAATCTAATAAAAAAACTGGATTAAAAATATTCTATATGTATTTATAAGAACTTTCAAAAAAGATATTTCTCTTTATAGAAAAGCCTTTATTTAAACAAAAAAGATGTTTAATTTTTATAATAATTACTTGAAAAAAAAATTTACTTTACTTTTTGTTCTATATATAATAATCAATATCAAAAACTTTTTAATCAAAAAATAGAAAAGTTTACTGTTTCTGAAAATTTTAATAATTTTAGTAATAAAAATTCCAATAATTCTTCTATTATTGATCCTAATTACTATGAAGAATTTATTAATCTGCAATTAGGGCACTGTCTGATATTACCTAATATCACTTTAATATAAAAATTTACCCCCCTTCCCTAGGTAAGATATGTTATATATATAATTCCTAAGGTTGCTGGAGAAACTAGGGGGTTTTGGCAAGTTGGCGAAATGCTGAAATAGCGAAACTTTGCTGAAACTATATGAAAGTCTTATTAAAAAGTTGGCGAAACTCTGGAGAAAAGCGAAACCTGACGAAACTTATTATAAATGCCGAAACTGCTGAAATCTTGCCGAAATTATAATAAAACTATAGTAAAATTTTGGAGAAACTAATCATAGAATTTTGGAGAGGTTTAGGCAGACAACTTTAATAATTCCTTATATAGTATTGTATGTAACCTAAGATCTTTAGTTATTCCCCTTCCCCCTAAAATATTAAGTAATATCTGACAGCACCCTTACTAAAAAATTTAATCAATTTTCAACTAAAAGTAATTATTATTGATCATCAATCAAATAATAATTATAAAAAATGCAATAGTAAATTTTATTTACTTTAATTGTAAAAAAAGTGGATAGGAAATTTCTGCTTGGAAAATAGCTTACTTTCAATAGAGTATACATATAAACTGTACTGTACGGTTAGCTAAACTGTACTGTACGAAGTGAGAACTCACCAATCAAATTTTACTGTATAATAAATAAAAAAAATTTAAAAAATTTGAAAAGTATATAATGAGTTATGATTGGCTAAAATATTTTCGTACAGTACAGTTTAGCTGACCGTACAGTACAGTTTATCTATTTACCTCTTTCAATATATCAACATTTAAAAAATTTGCTATTCAAATTTAAAAATTTATTGGAATTACAATAAAAATTGAAGATATTGATCAAAATAAATACTATTTTTTTTTAAAATCAGTTAAATCAAATGGTAGAGATTTAAAATTAATTAATTTAAAATATACATGCCACACAAATTATTTTGGGCTGCCATAATTATAAGTAAAATCCCAAATTCAATTATGACATCCCAAATTATTTAGCATTTTATATAGTAAATTATATATAAACTAAATGAATTATGACATCCCAAATTATAATTATAGCATCACAAAATAATTTGGATAGCATGTATAATTTAAAGGATTTTGAATAAATATAAAAAATTATTCAAATCACAAAAAAAAATTGTTGTAATTGCATAAATAAAACATAAAGTTCATAAAAAAAAAATGAAAATAAGAGGTAGTAAAACTATTATCATTTTATTTATATATATTTAATTTTTTACTTTATATTGATTACTTAATTTTATTTAAGAAGAAGTTTTTACATTTGACAAATTTTTAGATGAAAATGATAGTAGTTCAAAAAAAAAAGAAAATGAATTTCAATTCCTAAAATAACAGATTTAACTCCCCAACAAAAAGTCATTATCTAAACTTAATAAATAAAGGTATTATTCACAAGGAAATTTACCATACAGTCTAACCTTGATATACCAATATTCGATATACCAATATACTATTAAAAACTTGTTATACCAATAAAATTTCATTTTCCCACTATATGTGAGGACATATAAATATCAGTATAACTTTGATATAACGATATTTTCTAAAAATTTCATATATGTCCTGACATATATATCATTATATAAAGGTGACTGTACTATAAATTTGAATTATTATTTTAATATCTGAAAAATTCTCAATATCATACAATTTAGATGTTCCAAATAAAAATATAGATAAGACTTTTAATATAGCTATTCAAACTGATAAAGTCAATAAATTTGTCAATTAAATGGAATATTTTATTGAAAGTGTAAAAGTGGACTTATTCAAATAACAGGAAAATGCAATTTTTATATATATTAGTACTTACACTTTATATTATTGAATGAATAATTTTTTAAATAAAGAATTTAGTTAATTTAAATTATATGTAAATGTTATATAAATCCGAAGATATAATAATTGTCCGGATCATATGTAACCTGGCAACAGATCCGGCTACCATTTTTTACATGGTGATGCTAGGGTCGTTGGAACAGTAATCCCACACCCGTGGTGTAACTGGACTTTACTATTTTTAGTAACAGAAACCCGTCCCAACCCGTCCAAGGTGTGACAAATAAGGTGTGACAAATAGAGATCAGACTGCAAAAAAATTTTAAGTCGCTGAGATAAATATAAACAACGCGTTCCTAACGGTCACTTGACATGTGACAATAAACATCACCTCGGTTACACCACGCGTGCGGGATTATAGATCGGGTCGTTGTCGTTGGATCCTCAAGTCACGAGATGATCAGTCAGATTGAAAAAAGCTAAGCCACCATTATTATATTGCTCGATTTTTTCCACCGGCAAAACAGCCTTCTCTTTCCCCATGCTGGTCTACTACCGTGTGAAAAATGTTTTCTATCGAGTGGACCGAAAACAGAGAAACACTCTACTCTAAATAAAAAGAAACGGCTTTTTTGGTTGACGTTGCTGGGAAAATAAATGAAAATTCGAATTAAGGACTGTCAGAGAGAATTTTTAAGTCTCACGAAAGCTTTTAGTGTAAGTAGTACTTGCTTGGGCTTTATGAGAAATCTGGTTGGTAAATATACTTATTATTATTTATTGGATGGTAAAAAAAATATAATGAAGGAACCAGGAGCAAATGACCTCTGGTTGGGGAGAAGTTATATGGAGTTTTCAACGAAGTTCTGGATAAAACCGGGTAATTATGTTTCTGGGGAAAATAAGTGGGTGGTTCTTTAAAAATTGAATCTTTTTTTTTATTTGCTAGAACTTCCATTCGAGCGGTGCAATGTTAGGTCAAGTGGGATGAGTTCTACAGTTTTCTCTTGTAGCGGATCATCTTCAAAAGTTGACAAGGAGACCAGTGACGCCATCCATAGAAGGATCTGCAGTTTCTAGGCTGTAAAGCCTACACTTCCTCCTTCCTTTTCGCATTCTCACGTACTTCCTCCCTCTTTGATAACATCATACATTTAATTCGCTATTTCTTCCGATTAGCTACATATCTGAAAAACTTCTTTGTGCACCCGAAAAAAAAACAAATGTGCTTTAATTGTACTGTTTACCTACCAAATGAGATTGGTACTCTCTCGTAACATTAATCACGAGATGATGTTTAAGCGATCCACCAATTAAAGTTTATTTTGCTCATCTGACGTTTTGTGCAAGTCAGTACTAATATATATATGTCGTGCTGTAACAAATATTCATTCACAAGTCATGAGCTATACTCTGTTCCCAGACTTCTTGCAAGAAATTTCAAAGCTCCTAGAGGACGCAGTGAACGATTTTGATGTACTCATTCAAGTAGGGCAGGAGTCGAAAATGAAAGAGTTTCGAGCTCACTCACTTATTCTGAGTGCACGGTCACCCTATTTTCGCACAGCACTTTCCGAAAATTTGGTCGCAAAGAAGGACGGCGTGGTTATTCTCAAGGAGCAAACCATCTTACCAGCAGTATTCGATTCTATACTCAGGTTGTGTTTATTTGTTTTTAAAGTATATTTCGCAAACAATAATGCGTAACACATAAGGTTATCATAGTATTAAACATAATTTTTGTTTCTTGGACGAATAGATACATATACAGTGGCGAGATTTGTTATGATCAACCCGGAGACATTTCCAGTGATATTAACCAAAATGCTACCCATGCTTTAGATATCCTAGTAGCTGCTAATGAATTAAGACTCTGCAAACTTATTAATTGCACTCAAATCTATCTTATTGAAAAACAATCATCGTGGTTGCAGCAAAACCTTACTGGCATCCTGCAGCTATCTTGTCGTCACGAACCCTTCGTGAAGCTACGTGACTATATTCTAGAAATTGTTTGCAAAAATCCGAATGCGTTGTTTGAGTCTGATGATTTCCTGCGCTTGGACGAAACCACTCTTATTTATATTCTCAAACGTGATGACCTTGACATGCCTGAGGTCAAGATATGGGAGTATATAATTAAGTGGGGGATCTCTCGTACTAACCCCGACCTTGAAAGGCACTCTGATTGGTCCGACAAAGATTTCTCAACTCTTGAAAGATCATTACATAGTTTAATTCCTTTAGTAAGATTTTTTCAAATGTCTAGAGAGGACTATTATCAAAAAGTGAGACATTTATATCGGAAAATTCTTCCTGATCAGCTCAATGAGGATATTATTCGATATCACATGGATTCTGGTTGTGAATTGCAATCTTGCGTCCTTCCACTACGAGTGTCTGCATCTCCGTTTGACTCCAAGATTATTAGTGCTAAAGATGCTGCACAAATTGCAAGTTGGATAGACTACAAGGATGGGAATCCATACACGTTTAGAAAGAATCCATATAAGTTCAAGCTCATTTTGCGTGGTAGTCGTGATGGGTTTGATATTGATAGTTTTCACCAAATTTGTGATAATAAGGAACGCACTGTCATTGCAATAAAAGTTTCCGGGACAGGAGAAGTGGTTGGAGGATATAATCCGCTTCAATGGAAAGCAACTGGTGTCAGATGGTTAGAAAATGATCCCAACAGTGTTAGGATATACCCGTATCATAGGGGGGGTGGTTATTGTGAATCTAAATATTACAATCATAAACGCAGGACAAATGATAGCTTCCTTTTCTCTCTTGGCAACAATCAAGCGCCAAAATTGAGCCGAATCCTTCGTGAATCAGCAAACAAAGCTATATCCTGGGATGCAAAGAGTGGCCCATGTTTCGGAGATGCCGATTTGCGCATGACTGGTCAATCCACCAATACATCTAATTGGGTAAGCAAAACACAATTTTATGAACACAGCATTGCCAATTTGGAAACCTTTTCCGCGGAAGAATTTGAAGTGTTTCAAATAGAGCATTGTACTATATTCCGACTTCCCAAGTTTTTTGAATTCCCTCAATTGAATGATTTGAGTCCCTCTCAAATTTCCCACTTTCTAGAAGGTATCATCTGTTTTTTGATGAGTATTAGTACGTTCGTGTTTTTTCTGTGGGTAATAAATAAAGATTGGCATCCAGTATTAATCTTTCTTAGCCTTATTTTAACAGTTGTTAGTTTAAGTTTAATAATAGTAGGTATTAGTCATAGAAATCTCCAACATTTAGTCTCTTTATCTATTTTTATCCTTTACATTTCCTTTTTAATTAATGCTCACAAATTTGCATAATACCAGTCAAAATTATTTATTGAATATCTATTATATAAACATATGTAATTATTTTGTTATAAAAAAAGGACTTTTCCTTTTCAAACAGTGTACTGAATTGTATCAAATAATTAATAAAGTCATTTACTTAACACTATAATTACAAAGTAACTAACTAAAAGGTCATTATTGTATTTTTTGCAAAGTATTACATAAAAAAGCCAGGGGCACTGACTGCTAAGTAAAAATGAATAATAAAGAACGAATGGAGTAGATCATGTTTAAAGGGAGGAATAAAGCATGAAATGAAACAATATCATGTTTTCCACCAGCCCCTGAACTATAAAAGGCGGTTCCTTCTCACTACTCCACATTATTATCCAAACTGCTAATATTTTCTTTACTATCTACCCATCTCATGAATTTCACATCTCTCAGTTTCAAATTCATAATCCATAGTATCCCATTCTATTCCATTCTTCCTTATTCAGATCAAAAACTCACTTAAAATGGTTACTATTTTCTTCAAAAGATGAATTGGATAAACTGGATGGTATACTAAGCTGATCAAATTTGACCTAAAGTTTTTGGGCAATTGCATAAAGTTGGATTATTTCATTTCAGAAAGCTTTGATAGAAGCATTGAATTCAGATGAAATGATGGAATTCTGTCAAATTCATTACAACAGGCTTCTTCAAGACTTCAATACTATTAATTCTTGTGGTCATGTCATTTAAAATTTTCTATGCCTAAGAAGCATAACCATTGCATCACGTAAATTGATTTTAGTGATTTCTCTGGTAATTTATTATTAATTCTGCTGAACCTTGCATTAACTTTTTTGTTAATTCGTCTGAACCAGTGAAAACTACTAATAAATTTCGGGGAATTATTTTTGCAAATTAATTATCCCTTAAATGGCTTTTGGGCTAATTTGTCCGGAATTTTTTTTTTTTTTTGATACAATAATGTTCCGAAGTATTAAATTTGCGTCATCATCATTTATTAATTTCACAATTTTTGATCGACATAAACTTACTATTTAAGGTTACGATGTTATTATACAAATTAGTGATATTGAGCTAGCCAAATTTGTATTACATCCCCAGCTGAAAATGATATAAACAGGGTAATTTTTATATTGTATCATTTGTATGATTAGTTAAAATATTTTTTCTTTAGCGACGCGGGCTTAAAAAACGCTATATTTATGCAGTTACAAGAGGCGTAACAGTCACAAACTTGATATTTTTTATTAAAACATTATTTACAGTATACACCGGTAAATATTTATTTTAAACGTTATAAACAAAAGAAAAACAAAAAAAAAAGTTATTAAAATTATTCATTTCTATTAATCCTATTTATCATAGATTGTCCAGCCTGCCATATTTTGTTTATGTTGAGCGGCTTACCTGGCTATCCAATTTTGAATAGTTCCTCTATCAATTTCGTAAGTTCATTCCACATTTCCTGCGCGCTATATCTATCACTTTTATTTAAATTTCCTGCTAAAAAATACCCCTCCAGAAGTGCTACAATGTGCTTATTAATTCTTTTACTACTTCCCTTTTTTCCAACTTTTTGATTTTCCTTTAGTGCCCAACCTAACTTGATCGGAAATTCCTGATGTACACTTTAATTTTATGGTATGTTAATTGCAATTCTTACAAAAAAACGATCATCTGACATAACTAATCTTACCTTATTTCTTCATTTGAATCCAGCATATCGGTAGATAGTATTTGATTTTCTATGATAATATTATAACTAGTGTAGAATCTAAGGTAATCATTCTCTTTAAAATCAAACTGTACCTGTATTTTCTATTTTCTGTGATACAACATCTTCTAGCAAAGAAACTAATTCACGTCTATTGTCGAATTTTAGTTGATCCATATTTAGACGATTAGGAAAAATTCCTAGAAATAATAGATTGGCTTAAAATGACGTCATATAGTAATATTAAAAACAACAGTTCAATACCTGACTTATTAATCCAAGGAGTCTGAGGAACTGTGTGCTGGAGGTTTGTCCATCTGAACACCTCCTGGACCATTAATGTGCATAATAACTTACTTCGGTAATTGAATAATTAAAAACCTAATAATTATGGGTATTATATAGATTTTTTTTTTATAATTTTTTGTAAATTTCGATACTAACTGATAAATTTCGTTTATCATTTTCATATGAAAATGTATCGGCAATAACAGATAATATTCTTCTTTTACCATCAATTCCACGAATATTGCTATCTAATGCATCTTGAAATGCATTCCAAAATTGTTTTCAGGAGCTGTTTGAAGAAATTGAAGAAATCCACAATTATACACTTGCATTGGTGTATCTTTGTCTTTATCTGGATCTTTTGACCGCGTCCAAAATTGAAAAAATCGAATTTTTAATTAGTTACCTCGTTATCTTAATACAACCAGCATGACACAATAAAGCTTTCCACGCACGATTTACGATCTTTGATAATATAACCAACTGGATATATTTCTTTTAGTTTTTGTGTTATTTCAATAAAATTACTTTTTTGATTTTGCCATTCAATAAAAAAATTTTTCCAATTAATAGACGTTAAAACACGTTTTTTCAAATGGTAATTGAAAACTTTATTCATAATTTCTTCATTTTCTAGTCATCAGTCGTACAATAAGGAATTTTTTCTCGATCAATTACTAATTTTATTTCATTATGTTCAAGTCCAAAGAGGGTGCTTCCTTTCAGTTTGTTAATATTGCAATTTTTTTCCAAATTAAATTAGGATTAGCATCACAAAAGATGCATATTTTTTGAAATTCTTTATAAATTCTAACAATTGCTTCATCATCGTCAAATTCTTGAAAAATAATGATCGAGAATGGTTATAATCATGTATAAAAGAACTTTACATAATTCCAATCAGGATTTTTTGAAACACAACTATTACATATATAACGTTACTACATAAACCTTCAGAACGACATGTACAGTATATCTGGGTTGGAACTTGGAACCCATTATAATTAGAGCCTGTAGTATCTTCAGTATTTCCTTGAACTACTGTAATGATAAAATCACGTTTATTTATTGTAGCAAGTGTTTCATACCAAGACGAAGTGGATAAAAAGGCATATTTGCCGTATTATCATTAGTTGGGCGAGCTAACCACCATTATCTAGCATATGGTCCATAATGCAAGTTGTCTACAAGTTCTCCTGCAGAAATAAGTGAAACTGAGTATTCTTTTTGCTTTGACATTGCTTTGGTATTACTTTAGAAGTAGTTTAATAAGTCAGATTAGAAGGATTCTGAAAAACGGTTAAAATATATATAAATCGTCCCGTATATATTACTGTATATGTCAATCACAGCTTGACGGATCACGAATTAATGATTTTAAAAATGAAAATGTCTCGTTCTTGATTTCAAAATAACTAAAACGAAAATCTTAGTTATATAAAATTCAAACATAATAACCACAATAATATGACTCCAATAATTCACAATCTAAAACTCATAATTTTCAAAGATGTTTTTAAAGTTAAAATTGAACTTTTTAGATCATTAACTTTACCTATTTTTTTATTGCCGTTTTCTAATTACTGTGATTTAGCATTATTTTAATAAAAAAAAAAAAATTTTATGAAAATAAAAGAAAGTATGATTATAAGCTAAAAATTATAATTTTAAGAAATAATTTTCAATGTTTAAATAAGTTTACTTATAAGTAACTTTTTAAAAACAATAATGTTACACAAAATTATAATTTTTAGCTTATAATCATACCTCTTTATTTGAAAATACAATAAAATTTTTATTTTCACGTTTTCTTAAATTTTTTTTTTTTTATTAAATAATGCTAGATCACAGTAATTAGAAAAAGGCAATAATACGATATCGCCACTATTAAAGTTTATTAAACACAAGAAATCAATTTAAATTTTTTTTCATAAGTTAATGATTAAATAGGTTTTTCTGAAGTGTTTACAGCATACGCGCCTAATTTTACTTCTACAAGAGTGAAATGTGTCTTCAAAGTTATTCCTTTGGAGGAGGGAAACAAGTACTAGTGAATGGCATGTATTTTCTAAGAACAAAAATAAAAAGAAAAAACACTAGCTGAAAACTGAAAATGATAAAATATTTCAAACAATGCTAAATCCAGATTTGTGCACTGATAATCCACAATGTATGGAAATACATAAATAACATAATTCTGTAACCTCAGAGTAGATTATAAAAAGCCATACATTCCCTACGTAGAAAACATAATCGTACATGTATAGTTTTCCGTACATGTGCGGAAATAATATAATAAAGACTATACATTCCCATAGAAAACTATACCATATAATATTGAGTGCTGTACATACATAGAAACCACGATTGCTATATATTCAGATCTGCTTGATTTTGGTCTTTTAGCATCTTTAAAATTACTTATTTATTCAAAAAAAGAATGAGTACGTTGTGGGTGTGGCAGAATTTATATATTCCGAAGCGGTTCATTGTACTCGGCCTTTGTGCACTTGCCATTTTAATAAATTATGCAGGTTAAAATTAATTTATTTGACTAAATTCCTAACTTACGGGCTTCCAGTCAATTTATATTTAATAATATTGCCCCAAAAGATCGCTCTAATATAGCTGTTGCCATTATTTATATGGCCAAAGAATTTGGCTGGTCCTCCACAATTCAGGGACTAGTATTATCTTCGTTTTTTATAGGTTATATAAGCACGCAGGTTTTGGGAGGAGCGTTTGCAGATAGGTTTGGTGGAAAATTGGTGCTTGGAGTTGGTGAGTATTCTGAAGGATTATTATAATTGTGAAAAAATGATTTTGTTTAATACTGAAAATATCTTTATTGGTGTCCGGATTTATAAATGGAACTTTGACCTTTTTTTATATTGGCATTTAGCCGCTTTTGGTTGGACTACTTTTACTTTGTTCACTCCCAGTGCTGCCAAGCTAGGTTTGAGTTACCTTCTGTCATGCCGAATTCTACTTGGCATTGCAGAAGGTGCTTGTATTCCATCTGCTTATTCATTAACTGCATCTTGGGCTCCACAAGAAGAACGTTCTCGCACTGCTGCAATTATGTCAGCTTCAATTAATATTGGTAATATAATTGCTTTACCTGTATCTACATGGTTGGGATCAGGCCCTTGGAGATGGCAGAGTATTTTTTGGGTATTTGGAGTTATTGGGCTTGTATGGTCATTGTTTTGGCAAATTTATGGTGGAAGCGATCCAAGTACTTATAAGGGAATTTCAAAAGAAGAATTAAATTTAATTTTAAAGAATAATCACAGCGTAAGTGGTAGATCTGGTTACATTAGTTTACCCACTAGCGAAGAAGAAGTAATAAATAGAAACAGTGAAAATGTTATTGATATTATTGAAGACAACGAAGTTACCCAAGATAATAACACAGAAGAAAATGTTGACGCAAAAAGTTCCAATCCTTCACGTATCCCATGGAGGTTAATTCTTTCTAGACGGGAAGTGTGGGCTATACTTGGTAAAATTTGAAAAAAAATGTTTTGTGTTTATTGTCCTAAATTATATGGTTTATTTTTATGTTTAAATTTGTTCTTAAAGTCGCGAATGTTTTCAATAATTGGGGTTACTTTGTTTTCCTTAATTGGCTTCCTACTTATTATCTTGATCGTTTCAGAGTAGATATAAAACATTTAGGATATTTTACAGGTAAATGTTGCATATATGATATATATGATATGAGCAAACTATAATAATATTGATTTTGTATTTAAATATTGTATCTGCTAGTTCTTCCTTATATTGTTCAGGGTATATCTGTATTATTTGTTGGAACACTTGCTGACTATATGACATGCAAAATTAAAGTCCGTGTTGTCATTGTAAGGAGAATTGCTCAGATAATTAGTAGTTGGGGTTTTGCCACATTCCTTTTATTAGTAAGTAAAAAACAAGCATTATTTTATGTTTTTAATATAACGCATTTGTTTATTTATATTATGTGTTTGAAAAAGGCGACATATGTAGCAAAGACCCCATTACAAGGAATTATTCTTATATCTATAGGAACTGGATTAAATTCTTTTTCAATTGCAGGAGTTAAAATTTCTCAGGTGAGGATTCTAGTTTAAGATGCTAAATTTTATAATTTAACAATCATTGTTTAAATATCTTATTTTAATGTACTGTATTTAAAATTATAAAGTTGGATATTGCTCCACGATATAGTGGTGTAATTTTTGGTCTTGCTAATTCTCTGGGTATGATCCCGGCAATTTTAGGTGTATCATTAACGGGATGGATCTTAGATGCTACGGGAAGAAACTGGAATATTATATGGAATTCAATTGCAATTTCTTATTTTATGGATGCTATTATATTTTCAATTTTGGTTGGGGATAAAGTTGTTATTGAATAAAGCATTACAGTGACACCTCTATAAGTGTACCCTCTATAAGTGCACGCACTATATAAATTCTCTTTAAGTGCATGGTGGGCATATATAAGTGCATGCACTATATAAAAATTCTCTTTAAGTGCATGGTGGGTCTGGTCCCAACTTATAAGAGCTCTTAATATTTTACTCTCTATAAATGCACACCCTCTCTAAATGCACATTCTACTATTTTTTTACTATGTTCCAAGAGGGGTGCACTTAGAGAGGTGTCACTGTACTTATAATTTTAGAATAATATTCGATTTATTTATAAATAAATATATGTAAGAATTTATAGCTTTCTTCCACCGATCATGAACGTAGTGAATTATTGGGAATTTTATTTTTTCATTCGAAGCAAGATATAGCATATAAAATATATCGCGAAAATGATCAAAATCATTACATCTGATGCATTCCGTGAGGAGGAAGTTATCAGATTAATCAGATATACAGAGAAATTAGCCCAGATATTTGGACTAAATGAGCAAAATGCAGAAGTGTATAGTGCGCTTTCCGGTGAAAATAGGGCACTAAAGAAACAATTGGAAGATTATCATTTACTTTAGAAGGGGGGTAAAAAGATTAGAAAGAGATGTGGGATCCTTAAAAATCAAATTAGAAGATCTGGACGAATGTGTAGATAGGGAGACTGTGGTTGATTTAATACAAGAAATAGTTCCCACACTGATTAGTGAAAAAGGTAAGAGTTCCTTCTATTCACCTGAGTCTTCCAGAGAATCTGATTCGGTTGAGATAATTGAGGTAAGAGAAAAAAAGGCTGTCCCTCATAAGCAACAAAGGAAGGCATGACCGAGAATGGTGATGAATTATATTTTACGATTGAAAGATATTCTAACCATAAAAAATGCATACATCAAATCTTTTGAGCTTCTTCCACCAGAATTAATACCCTTTATTCTAAAAAATTTATCGATACAGGATCTTAAAAAATGTTGCAGTATAAATAATATATGGAAAGATGAAGTAATTTTAGAAATTCGCAGAAGATTAATAGTGGATTGTACATTTGTCAATGAAAAAGCAACTGTTAAGGCATTGATTGACCCCAAATATTACTATAGCAGTATTAGTAAGGCGCCAAAAAAATTGATTTATATATTTCTAAGGAGGATCTGAATTTCCCGCAGTACAAAGACTGCAACAAATGCTGGGAAGAAAGTGATGATAAGAGAATGGCTTAATAGAGAAAAAGTTTCCGTCATTTTGCCAAATATATTTGATGGGTTAAAACCCCCCTTCGTATTTGGGTAGATACAGAAACTTTCGTAATTGTTGACAAGCCTGAATACGATATGGTTTTAGGTAATAATTGGCTAGTAGGATTGAGATATAGGATTGATAAACGCGATGCAAGATATTGGGAAAATAGTGAAGAGAAAAGACTTTATTATGTAAGAAATGACATTAATATATTGTCTCCTTCGTTATATACATTCTACGAATTATTATTCCCTAATTTCACCGCAATTAATTCAGATGGGGAGGTCATAATAACCAAGTTTTTCAAACATAGTACGTTATGATCTAAGTGAATATTATGATTCGGAATACACTGAAACAGAGTCTGAATGTTCGAGCTCTGAAACCGAATCAGAGTCTAAATCATTTAGTTCTGAGTCAGAGGATGAAGTTACCTATGTTAACGATGTACCTCCAATGATTATGGACACGGCTGATACCCCAAACGATTTTATTACCACATTTAGTGATTAGGATGGTGTTAATAATAATTTTATTTCTGCATTTCTTAATCGGGAATTAACACGGTCCTCTATGGAATGGTGGTACTCTACCGATCTAACTAGTCCGGAGCAGTGATCACCAGCTCGGGAGATTTCGCTGAGCCACATGCATTCACCCTGCGCGACAAAAAATAGGTGAATCACACGGTTCAGGTTTGTGCGACATATTAATTTTGCATATTAACCTTTATTCTTTATTTTTTTCCCCGAGAAAAATGTGAAAGAAAGACTACACGCAACACAGGACTTACCCTAAAAGCAAATAGTACTGATAAAAGCATATGTTATGAAAGGCTGAGGACTTCGTAATTTCGAGACCGCCAGGCGTAAAACCAACTATATGTCTTATAGGGTAGATCTACATGTGAAATGGTATGAAGATTCCCTTTGCATGTGCTTTCATAGAACTCTTGGCATCAGACAACAATACTAAACACACCTCATATCTCCTTAACTTTTTCCCAACAAGATATAAAGCGTGTAGGAGAATATGTGGAAGTTTAATCAACCTTCCCGCAAAAAATATTTTCCGTAAAATAACGCAAAAAAATAAGGTATGTCAGTATATGTTTTTTCATGTAAGTGGGCCAAGGAATTTTCTCACTATGGGTTCTTGCATTTAGGAAAACGAAAAAATGAGTATTATCAATCTTAAGTGTTGCCTCAAAAATGGACAAGATGAAAAAACTTTCATAATTTCACCTTGCAAGGAAGATAAAGTCGCTATTCTCGAATTTGCCGTTAAAACTCTATTAGCAAATCAAGGTTACCAAGTTCTCTTCCTCGGCTTCGACCTCTACGTCAATGATTCTAAGTAAGATAAACTCATGGAATCAACCGAAGAGATCTCTAAGACGATTTGCTCGAAGAAATAATTTGCATAACCGAAGGCAAACAGAATCAAGCAACTATGGGTATCTGCCAAAACTTATTGCAATGTCGAAGTGCGTGTGATGTGGGCAACATTTTTACTTCGTTTGTTCCGTGAAATGAGAAAAAAAGAGTTCGCAGAGGCTAATTATTTGAAATTGCTAACTTCGTACTTCGTTACCAGATGAACTTAGATATGCACAGGAGAAAGCGAAAGGCTGATGAGGCGTTCGATCCCCCCGATTACGATTACATCTATGGTATAGTCAGTACTGGAACTGACTGGTACTTCATTCTTCATAGTACCGAGGGTATATATAGTACGAGTAGGACTGAGTATCGAATTTCACTAGCAGAAGACGCTCTCGAGGATCCAAATGAATTGCGTAAGAATGTGAAGAGGATTTTAGAGGTTATAGTGGGTTTATTGAAGGATAGGCGCATTTAAGAAGCGCCGTGTAGAAGAAATAATCAAGAAAAAATAATCGTGCATATTAGCATAGACGTCATGTATCGCGGGCTACGTCCCGAGCTTTGTATTTATTTTTCGCATGTATTAATAAAAATTTTTTTTTGCATTTTTCCGAGACATTATGTCCCAGAAATTTGGTGACTTTATAACCTACTTTTTTACTTGACTGTTTCTATATACTAACAAACTTTTGAATATTTCTGTTCTTGTATAAAATTTATCGAACATGTCAAACATTCAATCCAACGATTCATTGAGGGAATTAAATGCCAAGCTCTTAGCTGAGATTGACGAACTTATTGCTGAGGATAAGGTTAAGAAAATGAAGCTAAAACAGGAGCTTAAGGCCAGAATCGAATTGGAGAAAAACAAGGCAGATTCTTCAGCTGAGAATGTTAGGCGTGATGTCAAGATTACCGAGATTAAGGCTGGAATACGAAAAGAACAAAGAGCTAACCTTTCTTCAACCAAGAAATGAGTAGAATAATAATACTATAGGTTCGAACATTAACACAATGAATTCAAATCACCTTTCGGTAATATACAGGTATCCGATTATGTAGTAAACTGGTTAAATATTGAAGTAAGACGAGCTGGTGACGCGTCTAGTGATGATACCATTATTTCATTGGTATCAACAATCAAACGAGTATAATTCGTAAAGTAATAATAGAGTAGGTTGGTTTTATTGCTCAGTTTGCATCTTGGAACGTGTCATCATCGGGTTTTCCGCATCTATAGATGTTCCGAAATAATAGGACTTAATATATTTTTCTCGGCATTTGATCTTTGCCGAGAAAATCTGATCATCACACGTACAATAAATGGGGTCTGATCGAGCAGTAAAATTATATGGTTAAGCTCATGTTTGGTGCTGGGTGACAAAAAAAAACGAACATTATTATTATAATGTATCAAGGAATATCACAATTATGCTCAGAAACATGCATTATTTTTTTTTTACTTCGTTGCTAATTATGCTATAGAACTTTATCTTAGAAAAGTTTCCTACAGAACTTAATACTTTATATAAGTAGGAGTGATACGAGATGTGAGACTCTCATAGTTAGTGATAGAAAAAAATTTAGCTATAGAAATGTGAGGAAGTAAAGAAATAATATGAAGCGGGAACTTGCATTATATGGCCTATGATCCGCATACCCCTTCCCTTGAAAGTATTACATATCTTAATTATTTAGTTTAAAAAAAGTTATTGTTCGTAATGAGATTTTATTAATTGGATATTATTTGCATAATAAAATAAAATGACATGAATTATAGAAAATTGATAAGTGACACTTCAAAGAAGAAGCGAAATAAAAGCAAAGAAATTAATAAGGGAATGTTAATTCCTGGAAGAATTGTGAATTATAATAAGAATTATAGCTGAAAAATTTGTGAATTATAATAAGTGATAGCGAAAAAATTAACAAGGGAATTTAATTCCCGGAAGAATTTTAGACCAGAGAAAGGTTTAAGCGTTGAAGACGTGTAAGTGCTCATCGGCCTCTAACTACCCTTTTTTAGGGATCCCAATTTCATAGCATCGGCCAACGTCAGGAAATCCAACCATGTGTCGCGACCAATTATTATTGGTTAACGCTATGGTAGTATTTAGGAAAGCTTGGCGGTCGTTAAATGAAAACGCGCAATCAGAAGGCGCTTGTGGTGGAAACGGCGCGAATCCTGCTTGTCCTCGAATTACTAATCAAAAGAAAAATTAGAACCAATCAGACGAATAGTTGCTTTATATAATGTATTGCGACATAAATCCTCAGTGATGTTAATATTTATATACATACGAGCAAGCAACGCATCTTTGGTGAACATAGGGTTCATGGTTGTCCTCGCCTGGATTCCGGGTTCGTTCCATTCAATCAACAGAATGGATCCTTAAAAATTTCATCGTTTGCAATATTTTCACCACGGTGTTTCTTTCGTAATGTTTTGGTCCATAAACGAAGAATGTCTTTAGAGTTTTCATCAAGATCCATGCATATCAAAACAATTATTTAGTTCTAATTACAAAAAGAAAATTGTTAGAAAAATAACATCCAAGTTCCAACCTGGTGAATTATTTGATTTATCGGAACGCTTGAACCATCTTTAGCCTTCTTAACAATATCGACATTGTAAACTTGAAGAGAAATAAGAGAAGTTTATTTTGGAAGAGTCATCTTGATTTACTGTATTGTGTATTACGCAATTTTAGGAAATGATCTGCATATGCGCCACGATAACAAAAAAATTTTCTGGAGATGAGATATTACGTAAATAAAGTATGAAATATGTTGTGGCCGTGTGGAAGTTACCGAAGCGACTTCAACTAATGACCTTTTTTTCGTACAGAATCTGATGACACTACTAGAAAACAATATAAAATTTCGGTAGGTTAATTAATGTTATGAATTGTTAATTTTTGACAGTGCATGTTCCATTTAAGTCTTTAAGATAACCGACGACCATTTTATATCCAGAATATTGATGATTCAAATAAATCGGATCGAAGTTAATGTTAGAATAATTAGTATAGATTATGGACCACAGGCATTAGCATAGAAACGTTATAAAACAAATTTATGTATCACGGCTACATGTAATTTATAATAGAAATCAGGAAAATTTTTGGGAGAGGTGTTCTACTGAAGATTCTGGTGATATTGAGCTTACAAAAAAGTCATTTGGAAACTGATAAAATATCACGATCAGAATGGTGTTTTTGCAAAATGGTCAAAACAAGAGAACTTTCGGATCTTGAACGCGGAAGATTTAACGGTTTTTTATGAAGCTGGTGACTCAGAATGAACAATAAAAAACTGGTTATGGTAAAACCATAATTCATCAAAATATAAAAAATCAGGTGCTGTTAGTATTGCTTCTCGAAGTGGATGTCCAAAAAAATTAACTGAACGGGGATAAACGTCATCTTACAGTTATTGTTGCTCAAAATCAACGTGAACCAACAGAGAAAATAGTAAAAAATTTGCTGAATCCACTGGAAAAGTAATATCACTAATATGTAAAAATATTATGAAAAATACATTATATGATATGGGATATCATAGTTGTACGATACTGCTCTCAGAAAACTTAATGTCAGTGAGCATATAACCGAAAAATTCGTTTAAAGTGGGCTCGTGAAAGAGTTTATGGACTATAAATGATTGGAAAAAGGTAGTATGGAGCGATGAATCCAGGTTTACATTATTTCAAAATGATGGAAATACGAGTTTGGCGTCTTCAAGAAGAAAAATATAATATTAACTGCCATAAAGCATGACGGAGGAGGTATTATGATGTGAGAGTACTTCTTCTGGCATGGTTTAGGTCCATTGGTAAGAGTAGATGGCCGTATTAATAGTGAAAGATATATTGAAGACATCCTTGGCTATCACGTGGTACCGTTTTAGAGGAATTTGAAGAAAAGTGCAAGAACGCGGAATTTTATTGAAAAAACGGAAACAATTTTGTAACCCACTGAACATCTTTGGGATGAGCTTGAACGTCGTGTTTGAGCCAAGCAAAAACATCCAAAAAATTTGGGGAATTGGAGGCGCTTCTTCAAGAGTGCTGGTCAGAAATTCCATATGAAGTTTATCAGAAGCTTGTTGAGAGCATGGTACGTCGAATTAAAGAGGTAATAAAAGCTCGTCAAGACATTAATTAACGTTTTTATTAAATTTTTATAAGTAAGTATTATAAATTAATGAGTTAATTTTTTTTAAGATTTTTTATTAAAAAAAAGTATTTAATATTGCGAGATTTTTGGGCTGGGTATTTTACATTATATTACGTATAATATGATGTTTAATAAATATAATTTACATATAATATTTTATTATAAAAAAAAAAATTTTTTTTATATTGTTTTAATTTATTTTATTAAAAAAAGTGGGTATAAAAAATGTTACATATTAAATTTCAATAATTTATTATTATAATGAATTTAAATATTATTAAATTTGTTAATTAATTAGTAAAGAAAATGTATATGATTTTAAAATTTAATAAAAAAAGTTATCATTAAAAAATTCCATTTTTTCTATTATTTACCGGGTGGCCCTAAATCTTTTGGCCGGGAGTGTATATACAGTATTATTAAAGATTAGCAGCTAATTCTACTATATTCTACTGATACTTCTTGATAAGTTATTACAATATCGAATTATTATTATACAAATATCAATGGACTATCAGTTTACTGATAATTGTATTAAATTTTAATGATATACTTTTTAAGAATTGTATTATAATCATTAAAACATCAGTGAAATATTGGAAACCAATATATGTATGATTTTTAAAATGGTCAATCAGTGGGATCCTGATATTCACCAAATTGCTTATATCCTGCATTTGACCAGTGAAAATTATAAAAGACTACTAGAATGGGGTCTTTCATACCTTAATTTGGAGCTTGAGATTGCATGCACTATGTGCAGCCCATAAAACTTACCTGTAATGTGACAGTAATCCCAGATCTTATTCTTTTTACCACCTCACACTTTTTCTATAGCAAGTTCTTTTTTATTCTTGTCAAATTCAACAAAGATGGTCTTGTATTTATTTGAGTCTTTTTTAACGGTTACCAATCGATCATCATGCATCACATTTAAAGCTGTAATAGCAAGCTTATTATTATTATATATAATTGAATTTCTCCTTACATACCCAGCATTAATCTATGTATGCAAATTTCCTTTTAGTCTCCTTTGCTATAATAGTAATAATATGATCCATCTTTACCTTCAAAACATTATTGATTCATTTGAATTTTGATATATAAATTCCTTTGTTACATTTTCTTCATGATATGAATGGATCTCATATTTTATTTGTATTAATCGAATATTCAGTGAACTATATAGCAGAAATTGTTAGCCTTTTGCTCTATAATTTTGCATATTTTTTCTCTGTAAAATTTGTTATACTTTTTGTTATCTATATTAAAATTCACGATTATTATACATGATACATAGATCATTTGAAGTTCTTGAACTATTCAAAATCATTAACTTCTTTGACTAGCAATTTAACCCTTTGTAAAGCATCTTCTAACCTAAAATACCATTCTTAATGGTTAGTTAGTGATTTAAATAATGAAAAACTTTGAAAGCATCAGTTATAGAAATACTTCTTCTTTTTCTTATAGGCTGTATTTTTGAAAATTAAAATATCTTGATTTTTAATTTAAAGAAAGTGGTTCTTCTATCTATATTTTTCATCTGTTTTTATTAACAAATTATTTATTTTATCATTAAGTATATACATGCTGCCCAAATTATTTTAGGATACTATAATTATAATTTGAGATACTGTAATTTATTCAGTTTATATGTAATTTACTATATAAAGTGACAAAATATATAATTTGGGATGCCATAATTGAATTTAGGATTTTATTTATAATTACGCCATTTCAAAATAATTGGATAATATGTATAGTTCAGCATATTATCTGTGAAGACTATCATAAGATGAATAATATGATGGCAGTTGAAGTTTTAAAACTTATTTTTATTAAGCTATTATTTTTTACCAATCTATTATATTAAAAAAATTCCAGAAAATTCTTTTATATCTATAGGATCTCAGATATCTTCAAAACAGGTTATAAGTCACACCTTTGGCAAATTAGCCCATTTTTTAAGAGACTCAAAAAATCGTTTTTTATAAATATCTTAGCATCTAGTAGTCCAATTTTAATGAACTTTTTTTTTTAAATTGTAGAGCTAAATGAGAGCTACATAATAAAAAATATTTTATCAAAATTGAATTACTGGATGCTGGGTTATTTACAAAAAATGATTTTTTGAATTTCAGCAAAAAGGGGTATTTTAGCTAAAAGTCCATTATGACCTTTATATTAGATATCTGGAATCCTATATCTATCCATTATACTACTAATCTATTGTATTAAAAAAAATTCCAGAAATTTTTTTTGTATCTATTATATCATATCAAATTATCAATCACTTTCCTTGTAGAACTTTTTGAACTATTGATCTTATTTACTTAGTTTTTGACTAATTTGATATTTCTATTTTTTCAAATTAAGAGCAAAAATTCTGGAGTAAAAAAAATATAGCAATATATTAGCTATCTTAAGTTCTCTAAATAGTCTTATATTGAATAAGTAAAGTTTACAAAGAATTAAGGGGAACTATATGAATTTCATCAAGATTATATTAAGTTATATTTACATAATAAATAGTGTTCCTCATGAATCAGGTTGAGTTGAGTTGAATCGAGTTTTGAATCAATTTTTTATATGATAAAATTTGTCTTATATAATACTTTAACTATATTATTTATGTTATATGAGTCTATGTGAATCATTTCAAGTCGTATATACACTATACAGAACACTAATAATAAGTATATTAATCATGAAAATGATGATTTTTAGGCTAAGATTACCATATTTTTTCAATATTAAATATTCTTTTTTGTGGGGATTTTATGCAAAAAGTTTGTAGATATTTTAATTTTGACAGTTTTAGAAAAATGTCTTTTAAATCAATTTAAATTTGTTAAAAAATTTTGCAAAAAAAAAGTTTTGGTATTTAAATTCTTTTTTTTATAAATATATTTTTTTAATAATAATGTAATTTTATTTTTTTGATAATATAATAAAATTAATAATTAGTTGAAGAGGTGTTTATTTTTAATATTATATAAAGTAAAAGAGATACTTAATTTAATATTGGAAAATATAGTAATAATCTTAAATTGCAAACTAACTGAACAAAAAAAAAATGCTAATGATAAATTAAATAGTAACGATAATAGACTAGGAGAAAAAAGAAAAGTTGAAAATGTGTCAAATTGATCAATTAAAAGACAAGTCTGAAACTGATAATAAAGAAAATGCTAAAGTTTGTTAGTTATTATTATCAGATTTTGCATATTATATAATTTGAATATCCTTCTTATAAATCTTTTATAAATAATTATAAACCAAAATAAAGGTAATTTTCAAGATAATGTTACCTGAATTGACAATGAGATATGATAAAAATTCATGAACAAGACAAACACAGATATTCTATAACAATTTATATTATGAATAATTGCCTTGATGAAACCAAGATTCAGTCCCTTATATAAACAAATAAATGATTAGTTGGGTGAATTTAGCCGAATTTATTTGAAGTTTTATGGTCAAAATATAATGTAAATGATGGGTTAAAATTAAGAAAATTTAGATATAATAATATTTTTACTATAGTACCATTAATTAAAAATTTTTTTCTTTAGTAATATCAGATTCTAACTCTTAACCCTTTTAAAAAGTATATAAATGCTAAATTTGTTCAGAAATACAATAGTTACAGAAATTATATTAACATTTATTAATTTTTTTCAAGTGTTTTAAATATTTTTAGTTAAAAAATTATATATTTATTAGGTATATTAATCCCAAGTATTGATTAACTAGATCCTGCTATGCACTTATTTTTACTAATTAATTAATAATAAACAGCAGCAAATGATTCTGCTATATTCATCAAATTATGAGTTTCTTTTAAAAATAATTGAGATTTTTGTACTCCTGATAAAAATTTATCTTTTAAAATGAACGAACTTTACCATAAGGATAGTATATAAAACAAAAACTAAACTGCTGCGGCTTAGCCGGCTAAGCCATTTAATTTTCGCTTAGATTCCATAACGCCTGTTACCAATAATAAATTATAAATTTCGGGGAAAACAATAATCCTATACGTTAGATATCACGTCCGTGAAATGAAATAATAACTGTAAGACTATTGTAGGCCTGTAACTGACATTAAAATATCACTTCCGGTCAAGTGGAACTGAACCACATAAAAAACTGGAATTAATTATCAGTCCAGTTTTTAAACTGAACATAGCCCCTATTTACACTCTCCTACTTGAGTTATCCACAATGCAAAAAAAAGAGAAATTTTTATAATGAAACTTGAAACAATCCTTTTACTTATTATTCATTGTCCAAAATTCTAGTAGAGTATATAATTAATAGCAGATGGTTTCCATTTTAAGATTGAAAGGATCCAACTTGTAAATTCCCACGCATGATGTAATATTAAGTCAACAATTAATTTTTGAATCGTGAGAATTAGATCCTTTCCCCTCTTTCCTTTCTTACACATACAATCAATATGTCTAATAGATCTCCTAGTGGTAAATTAAAAAAAATGACTAAAGTTGGTTAGCGGAATGAGGCGCCCTGGTTCATGTGTCCTCCTGAGAACATATAAATAATGACCACATGAACAGGATACATGTACAAATTGTATAATGGACCTTATTCACTGGGATTTTTTATTGGTGGTGCAACGTACACGGCTTATAACGCGTGACGCATTTATAAAAATGTATAATTAATGTTCTTTTATCCAACAAAGAGCACAACTAATGATGTAATTTTTCGTGCCCAATAAGAATTAGATCCTTAAATTATTAAAACTATTAACAATTCATTAAATTATTTAAAAATCAGGAGGGCCAAACGGTGTTTCACAATACTCGAAAATACTGGCTCACAATAACTCGAATTCCGCTTGGGAATGTTTTTCCGTAATTAACTTTTTTTGGTATTTTATCAAAGAAAGTTTAATTTTAGCATTCACCCCCACATAACTACATTACTGAATTTATCTAATACTAGTAAAGTATATTACCTTAAAGTTTGGATACCAGCTTTACTTTTGCTAATTTAAGCTTTATTAATTTTTTTTTACTGTAAGAACCAATATAATTTGACTCCTAATAAATTATACGTATCTTTTTTGTGCGTGAGAATTTGTTTCGTCATTAGTAGTCCTTTTTACCCTCTTTCTTTAAAGTTTAATACATTACGTAAAATAAATCATAATAGACATTCTTTATGTAAGAAAAATTCATTTGAAAAATTTTATACGTAATCCGCGGCTCAATCCGTTTTATTATTATTATTATTATTATTTATTTTTTGCGGGACAATTTTCGCTGTCGGTTATAACTTAAATCACATAAATCACATACATATTGGGAATTATTTGTTACAAAAATTTTTCAGGAATTTTAGAATAAGTCGAGGAATAAAGAATTAGTGACGAAACGTATACAAAAGTTTTAATTGGATTCTCAATCTACATAAGAAGGTTCAATATTATTTGTCACAATCATGTAATATTTATGTAATCGAACAACGAAAAAGTTCGCGAAACATGAATAGATCCGGGTACGGTACATATAATGATCTTTTTGGTTAATTCAATCATTTTTCATTTTCATTTTCATTTTTTTTTTTTTTTTTTTTTTTTTTTTTTCTTTCAAACTCAATTAAAGAAGTTAGAATAATTTCGTGTGATATGAATCTCGAATTGTCTTCAATATTACCAAATTAACCATAATGTTTGGAAAAAAAAATTTTTTTTTTTAATACAAGGCTGAAAATGTTTTTTTTTTCTTTACACAAACAATCTAAATTTAGTTTAGATTAAGAAAAAAAAATTTTTTTTATGCAAACAATTTATCACATGCTTTTAATTTGAAATGGAATAATCCCCATATTAAGTACAATTAAAAATTTTTTTTTTTCTAAATTTCATTTTAAAGTTATTGGCAAAGAAAAAAGCGATTGTGAATCGACAAAAAAAANAAAAAAAAAAATTTAATGTAGATCCTTACCGAAAGATCATTTCTTTTGAAAGATATACTGTAAGTCAAACATTTGTCTCACAAGATTTGTTTCGTGACTCACAACTCATTTTAACTGTTGAAAGAAAAAAAAATTTTACAAAAATGAACGGGAGAAAGAAGATTAGCAAACTTTAGATTTGTAAAAGAAAATAGATTTAAGCAAACGCCCACTACTAATCGCATTAATTAGGTCAAATAATATTAATTTTAAAAGAATAGTAAGAATATGGCATCGTGATACTGTTAGGAGCAAACAAGAAAAAAAAAAAATGCACATAATACATATTGTTATTTGTTCATGGGGCAAAGATCTCGTGACAGGTAAATTTCTCACGGCACGGGTTCCAGAATGCCAGATCCACTCCAGATCCAATGATTCATAAATTACGTCATTTATAATTAAGACAATTTGTTTTTTTTTAACTCAGCCAAATATTCGCCACCAAACTCAATCAAGATTCAACTTGTTCATATGCGTTCGGGCTGTGAGCAACTTTACTTTGTGGACTAAAGTCTGATTTCTTTTTCATGATATTTTTTATTCCAGTCTTCCAACAAGATTCGCAAATGTTCAATTGACAAATTTATAATAACATCGACCCAGACTTGTAATGGATTGCGACAAGGCATACATTGCTAATCATTATAACGAATATTCGTTTATAATCAAATGATGAAAATAATGAAAATAATGAAAATAATGATCAGTACATTCTATTTCAAGGAATTATATGAAAGGAATTTTTTTTATTTACTCGAATAGTAAGTAATTCTACTTTTAAATTAGATTATTACAAATTGGGTTATTTATCAAAGGATAACCGAAAGGTCGATTAATTAATTATTTAGTTATTTTGACGATTTGATTTCACAAGATTTTTATATTACATTTTGTAAAATCACATGTCATTTGTTATTTGGAACGGCGACCACTGCATGATTTAAACATTTAAGTATGGAAGCCACTTTATATATATATATATTCTGTCATTCACTTTCACAGTTTATTTATTGCCTATTCCATTAAAATGCTGTTTGCTTCGGTTCAAAAAGAATTTTTTTTTTTTTTTTTTTTAAAGAAAAAAAAATAAAACAATCATTGACTGATTATTATTCTAAAAAAAGAAATCTAAAATAAAATAGATATAAATTAAGTTAAAAACAATATATAATTGCCTTTTTTAAATAATGTTTCACCAATTTGTTCCTTATTAGCTATTTTTTTATAATTCGTGAAAATCTTACATGTCAGCTGCTTATGACGATTATTAAATAAAATAAAATGGTATTAAATAATAAAGATCTTGCAGTATTATTCCCCAACCATTTATAAAATGCATGTAAATATTTTATTATAATTACTATATATATATATATATTATTTATATACATTATATAGAAATAATAAAATACTATTATTATTACTATTATTGTTATTGGACCAATTTATCTTTTCTTGGCTTTTTATATTAGCTTTGATTTTGATTTACATATTCCTAAAAATTTCTCTTTTTTTTTTTTCGTTTCAAGAAACAAAAAAGCAGATAAAAATTTATAGAAGGATTCTTTATTTTGACTCTTTCTTTATTCTCAAATTATAATTATATATGTGTATGTATATAAAATAAGTACAACGTAGATTATCTTTGTTTATACTTTCGGAAAAATATCAATCTAAGATTTCTTTGAACGCGAACTTTTTGAAAACCCAGGTAATTGTTTATTTGTATACCAAATTGAATCAAAATTCCCAACATTTCATGAAAATGAAATTTTTTTTTTTTCGAAATACATTTAAAATGCAAAAAATGGTAAAATTTTTTTTTTGTCCATGATTGGCATGCAATTTTTTTTTTACAGTGTTGCAATATATTCTTTTTGTACTATAAATTCTTTTTGTACTATATATTCTTTTTGTACTACTACGTCTAATTATATAAGAAGGCTCCATCTGGGGCTGTTTTTTAAAAAGTCCTTCACTCATAAAACAAAAAAAAAAAATTCATAAATTTAATAGTAACTAACTCTATAAAGATGGCCTATAAATTTGTTGAGAAAAAAGTTGGCATAATTGGATGTCCTTTCAACGGGGGGCAAGTGAGTATATATTAACTTTCATTTTATCTTTTAGTCAGTGAAAAGTTCTCAACCGGGGGGTCGTTATAAATCGAAAAAAAAAAAAAATTAAAAATTCAATTTGAAAAAAAAAAAAAAAATTTTTTTCGAATCAAGATAACATATCGCTATATCTGATACACGAAAAAAAAATTTGGAATATCCTTACCTTAAAAACGTGAAATATGCATTACAACTGGAAATTACTTGCAAAAATTTTTGTACTCGGTTTAAATAGGAATTTTCATTTTACTTTGCATTAATAACCCCCTTAAAATACCCCCCTAAATAATATTACACAAAATGATACCCCCCGAATTTAGTTAGTATTACCGGTACCAAAAATTACCCGGCAAAATAATATGTCTACGTTACGTTTTTCTAATGCACACACATTTTTTTATCAATAGCATAGAAACATGGGAGTTGAGAGAGGTCCAAAGAGATTGATGGAATACGGATTAATAGAACAACTTGAAGAATTAGAATGGTCAGTGGAATTTGACGGACATCATAAACTTAATGAACTACGCCCTTCTGAAGACCCAAATATAGGGAAGCTAAAGAAGCCTCTCTATGTTTCAAGGGTAGCTGAAACTGTATCCAAAGCTGTTGAATCGCATCTTAAGAGAAAACAAGTAGCGTTAACTCTTGGTGGCGATCACAGTCTCGCATTAGGCACAGTTTCGGGAACTTTATCAGTTTATCCTGATGCTTGTCTTATCTGGGTGGATGCCCATGCCGTAAGTTAAAAATAAATTTTTTGCATTATATGTTGCATTGCCATATAATCATAAATTAATATTTGAATAAAAATTCGTTCCAAATTTTTAGGATATCAACACTCCTGAAACTACAAAGTCTGGCAATCTTCATGGTTGTCCGGTATCATTTTTATTGGGTATCGCAGGAAAAGTACCAGGATTCGAATGGATTAACAAGATTCTTAGTCCGGATAGAATTGTGTATATTGGACTTCGAGATGTTGAGGCATCAGAGAAAAAAATCTTGAAACAATTAGGAATCAAGGCATTCTCAATGCATGAAGTAGACAAATATGGAATTGGAAAAGTAGTAGAAATGGCTCTTGATGCGGTGAATCCTAAGAGAGACCTTCCAATCCATTTAAGCTTTGATGTTGATGCACTTGATCCTACTGTTGCTCCAAGTACAGGTAATTATTATTACTATTATTATTCGTTAAATAATAAAAATTAGCTTTTTTTCTAACTTTTCTTTTTTTTTTTATAGGTACACCTGTTCGCGGTGGTTTGACCTTTAGAGAAGGACATTACATCTGCGAAGCTATTCATGATACAGGATGTGTTGTTGCAGTTGACATTATGGTAAATCTACATGATTGATAATATGATAATTTCTTGTGATTTATTATATTATTACTAACAAAATTATGAAACGTATATTTATTGACTTTTACAGGAAGTAGCAATTCCTGATCCTGAAATCTTCCCTGACATTGATGAAACACAAATATTCGCAACCGTAACGGTTGGACTATCTTTAATTCGATGTTGTTTCGGTAATTATTTTTTTTTCCTATGTAATTATATTATTTTTATTATTATTTAAAGATATTTAAAAATAATTTTTTTTTATTTATAATAGGTGAAACTTTGTTATAAAGGATTTCTTTCGTCGATCGATTTATACAGCAGAATACTAGAAAGATTTTATATAATATATATATATATTTATTTATATATATATTATATATATATAATTTTTTTTTATTCCTTTTTTTTTTAAAGAAAAAAAAGGTTCCTTACTTTAATAAAAATAGAATTGTAAACCAAACGAACATTTGTCAACATTTGTCAACATTTGTCATACCATTTGCAAAAATTTTATCAAGTACATTTGGGCGAAACTATACTTAACAATATTACTATATTAGATCTTAGTAATTAGAAAATATTAAGTAATTTGCGTTTTTCATGCAACTTACATATTAATATACACAACTGTGTATAAAATTTATTACTCCCCACTTAATTAATACAAACTTAATTATAATATTTTTTTTTTCTTTTTTTTTTATATAATTTTTTTAAATATTAATAAAATAAATGATTTTACTAAATCACATATTTTACGCAATCACTGATGTTTCAATATAATGATTTTTTTGGTATTTCCTGCCCATCGTCTCGGGATTTTTAAAATTATGGTTTCACACCCACCGAAAGGATTCACTACGATCCCGATGATTATAATACAAACCTGACGTTCACGATCCCGACAATGATCCCAACACTAATATTAATATATCCTCATGAAATTTTAATATGCAAGCAATAATTAACTAATAATAATTCATTAAATTTTGCATAGAGTATTAAAATTATTAAGTATTAAAAAACGATAATCCTTGCGAAACGATAATCCTTGCGAAACGTTTTAATCAATAAAATATTAATTGTTACAAAGTTCCCTTACCGAATGATTCAAGCTAATCGCATACGTAAAAACAAATTCTGGTTTGTTGATTTTAGCACTCGATCTCCGAATTTTTTTTTAAAATTATAATTTTTTGGTTTCACACCTCCAAATCAATTCTTACTGTATACGTAAAACAAATAAATACTAGTTTGTTGGTTTAGCAACTCGATCTCTGAATTTTTTAACTTTTTTTTTAAAACTATGGTTATTTGGCGTTTCAAATACTGTCTGAATTTTTCAATTTTTTTTTAAAAAAATTATGGGTTTCTAGTAATCTCTGAATTTTTGATTTTTTCAAAAAAATTATGGTTTTTGGTAATTACAAACTTTGATCTCTGAATTTTTCAATTTTTTAAACAATTATGGTTTTTGGTAATTCCAACCTCGATCTATGAATTTTTCAATTTTTTTAAAAAATTATGGTTTTTGGTAATTCCAAACCTCGATCTATGAATTTTAAAATTACGGTTTTTTGGTAATTCCAAACCTCGATCTCTGAATTTTTAAAATTATGAATTTTAAAAGGCAGTTTCTAGTTGTACGAACACGGGTCACGTGATTCAATATAAAATCTTATCTCACGTGACATTAAACGTAAAGACTAATTTTTTTTTTATATCTTTATTGTAATACCAATAAAATAACATGCACGTGTTTACAATACTACAAATGCATTGATGATAAATGCATAATAAATGCACCTAAATAACATTTGGACATGTCTTTACATAATGTCCATATTGCTTACACTTGCTACATTTCCGACCTTTTGTACCGCTTGCTGAGTCTTCTATATGACTTGAAATACAGTATTCTTTTACTACATTGATAATATCTTTTAGTACCCACCTTTTTTTATGTAAGTCCTTTTCAACATTTGATATTAGCCTCTTCAGAGGTCGTCCTTTATGCTTAACAATGATAGGATTATTAATATTGGTTAAGACTTCCAGTCTACTCTGTATATCATAAATAAAGGCCTTGAAAATATTTAATAATTCATGCTGCATATCAGCTTTAGTGGCATAATCAATAGTCTTCTTCAATAATCCAGATAATTCCACATACATGGCTTTAGATTTTATGGGTAATTGAGATAATTGGGATGATTAAGGACTATATAAATCAGTCTGAATGCAAAAAAATGTTGAAAGGTAGTTTAACTTTGAAATGGAGTATCATCTTCCAATTGTGTCTTATCACATATTGGAATAAAGGGATATTGTTGCAAAAGATCATTCAGCTCAACATCAGTATTAAGGTACCACCGACTTGGGATTATACTTATATGGAAGGTCGCAATTCTAGAGTAGGTGCCAACTTGAAAAAAATGCTAATATACCAACCCTTATTAATTAAGAAAAGACAGGTATATAGATGTGTACTTTTATCAAGCAGAATTGTATAATGCCCGATTCCCTGTGTGCCAGTTGCTCGTATATTCCATACTTCAAAAATTGTTTCTGTCAGTAAATTTAATACTAATGATTGGAAAAGAATCTGCCTTGCGTCTTGTTCTTGTTCTCTAATTCCTACACCTATTTCTTCATCATCAGTTTCCACCTATAGATGCAAAAAATGTAATTAATTTAAGAGTTTTTTCTACCAATTCTAACAGATTTTGAATGATACCTAACCTTTATTAAATGATGCCATTCTGTAATTTGGTTAATATCATAACATACAGATTGATTCATCTGCTCTTTTTGCTTTCTGAGCATTATAGGAGTTAAGAATTCTTTGATGATAATGTCTACTTGATCAAAGAATCTTGTATTTAGCATCGGCAAATTGATTGTAAGTAAGACATTATTTCTTTCTACTTCAAATTTTTTTAAATGTTTGTCATTATTAACATGATCATTAATACTAATCAACAGATTATATAATGATGTAAAGTAATTTACTTTATTATGCACATGCTTATTTATTGATTCAATCTGCTGCGTACTTTGTGCACTGGCCATAAATCGTTTGCAAACTCAAGGTATAGCCTATGAATCCTTAGTACAATAAAGGGTATCAGGCAAATATTTGACTGCTGCTAGGTATTGTTCAACTATATCAGAAAATTTGTTTAAGCATAATTTGTGTAATATTTCAGAGGTGGTGTAAAATTTTGAAATATTACACTAAAAACATAATATTATAAAAGTTTACACTCTTAAATTTGAATAATTATAGTAATTTAATAATATCTTGCTATCTACTGATCCAATCAAGATGATCTATAACTCGTTAGAATCAGCTTATCAAGATGAATCGAATGGTAGTAAAATCACATCTTTACGTTTAATAGATAACTTTCTATTAATTTAAAACTTTATTGTATACTATAGAGCATTTTATTAACTATAGAAATGCGATTTTACTACCATTTAATTCGTCTTGATGAGCTGATTCCAATAAGCTATAAATCATTTTGATTGGATCAGTAGATAGCGAGATATTATTAAATTACTATAATTATTCAAATTTAAGAGCATAAATTTTTGTAATATTATGTTTTTAGTATAACATTTCAAAATTTTACACCACCTCCAAAATATTACACTAAATTATGCTTAAACAAATTTCCTAATGTAACTGATTCCATCGAAGTTCAAATAATTGTTCGCAAAAAGAATTTTAACAAACATAGAATTTATGACAGAATTTCTCAAACTGACTATTCAATTTCCCTTTAAGTTTTTTTTTGAAAGTTTAGATTTATATGAAATATACATAGTAGGTGGTGAACATTGGGATAAATGTCCTTGATTGAACAAATCAAAGAAAGATCTGAATCAGTAAAACAATTTGTAGAGAAATGTCCATTTTATTAAGTATACTATCAAATATCTATCGGTAAGTATTTAGAGTTTCATTCTTAATAATTGCATATACCACGATTCGGGTTCTATAGTTGTTATCAACTACTGTTACAATACAAAGGATTATCTGAAATCAGTTTATGTTGTAAGTATTATCTACTATAACATTATCGTTATATCTGTTATATAAGTCTCTTTACATGATATGAGGAACATTCATAAAAGTGAAATTAATCTTTTTGAAACTGGATCTAATTGTGTTTTTATAATCTATAGCAGGTCTGAATCTTTTCAATCCATTAACAATTGAAGCATTTGTGAAGCATTACCATCTTTTAGATTATGCTTTTACCAAACTGATAAACTATATTATACAAATCTTTTTTGTGAATAAGTTAATTTGAATAATCATGCTTTAATAGGATATATATGGACGTTGAATCTATCCACTTTAAACAACATACTTCTCAACATCAGCCAGCAATTTCTTTGTCAACTTCCAAAATCTTGAGGCCATTTTTTGAATCATTGAGATAAGTGGATGGTTATGTATATTATTAAATGAGTTTATTCTTACGATACTACTTGTTTTTGGACAGGCTATATTAAGTTTTCAGGGACATAGTATTCATTGAGAATAAGTATTGTATTGCTTTGTCAGATCTGACATAGCTTGTGAAATATGGGACCCAGATTTTGTACATTTATAAGTAGTTTTTCTCATTACTTTTTGAATAGTCTTGCTAGTTTTAATCTTATAGTTAAACCCTTCCTTTAACCCAAATATATGTATCCAGTTCCTAAAGTCCTTTCAGTTAGGAAAAGTGAGTCCAGAAGTCAATTCTAAAGGATTGGATGGTTTATTTGATCCATCAGACTTATTATCAATAATTGATTGTGAGTTTGTTTCATAAATCTATTAGGCAGATTCTCTTTAATTATATAATAGATAACAAATATACAGCAACATATTAAGGAAATACTCAAGCATAACAAAAAACAGGTAAAATAAAGAAGTTATATACTTGAAGGTGAAGCATCATATTGTTCATCACATCTAACATTCTCTTGCTCTGTATTATCCATCATTATATTCAAGGTTTAACATTGAAATAAAAGACATGAAATAAGCAAACGAACACTGAATAATGTAATGTTTAATAATAGAAGCTTATAATCATTATGATATAAACAAATTGTACAATCGATATGTATCATATAATATCAATCATGATATAATCATGAGTTCATGATATAAACAAATACAGAGATAGATATAAATCATATGATTTGAAAAACCTGTGTTTGTATATTACGTGTAAGCTAAATTTTTTTCATTTTAAAATTATGGTTTTTGTTAATTTTAATCTTTGATCTATAAATTTTTAAAAGGTAATCTTAAACCTCAATCTATGAATTTTTCAATTTTTCTAAAAAATTATGGTTTTGATAATTCCAAACCTCGATTTATAAATTTTAAAATATGATTTTTGGTAATTCCAAACTTCGATCTATGAATTTTTCAATTTTTTTAAAAATTATGGTTTTTAGTAATTACAAACCTCGATCTATAAATTTTAAAATTATAGTTTTTTGATAATTCCAAACCTCAATCTCTGAATTTTAAAATATAATTTTTGGTAATTCCAAATCTCAATCTATAAATTTTTCAATTTTTTTAAAAAATTATAATTTTTGGTAATTTTAAATTTCAATCTATAAAATTTTAAAATTATGGCTTTTTGGTAATTCCAAACCTTGATTTTTAAATTTTTAAAATTATGAATTTTAAAATTATGGTTTTTGGTAATTCTAAATCTTGATCTATGAATTTTTAAAAGGTAATCTCAAACCTCAATTTATAAAATTTTCAATTTTTTTAAAAAATTATGGTTTTAGTAATTTTAAACCTCAATCTTTAAATTTAAAATATGATTTTTGGTAATTTCAAACTTCAATTTATAAATTTTTTAAAAATTATGGTTTTTATAATTACAAACCTTGATCTATGAATTTTAAAATTACAGTTTTTTAGTAATTTCAAACCTTGATTTCTGAATTTTTAAAATTATGAATTTTAAAATTATAGTTTTTGATAATTCTAAACCTCGATCTATAAATTTTTAAAAAGTAATCTCAAATCTCGATCTATAAATTTTTCAATTTTTTTAAAAAATTATGGTTTTTAGTAATTCCAAACCTCAATTTATGAATTTTAAAATTACAGTTTTTTGGTAATTCCAAACCTCAATCTATGAATTTTAAAATTACGGTTTTTTGGTAATTCCAAACCTTGATTTCTGAATTTTTAAAATTATGAATTTTAAAATTATAGTTTTTGGTAATTCCAAACTTCGATCTATGAATTTTTAAAAAGTAATCTCAAATCTCGATCTATAAATTTTTTAATTTTTTTAAAAAATTATGGTTTTTGGTAATTCCAAACCTCAATTTATGAATTTTAAAATTACAGTTTTTTGGTAATTCCAAATCTCAATCTATGAATTTTAAAATTATAGTTTTTTAGTAATTACAAATTTTAATTTCTGAATTTTTAAAATTATAAATTTTAAAATTATGGTTTTGGTAATTCTAAACCTAAATCTATAAATTTTAAAATATGATTTTTGGTAATTCCAAATCTCGTTAAAATTACAGTTTTTTAGTAATTCTAAATCTTGATCTATAAATTTTAAAATTATGGGTTTTTTGGTAATTTCAAATCTCAATCTCTGAATTTTAAAACTATAGTCTTTGGTAATTCCAAATCTTGATCTATAAATTTTCAATTTTTTAAAAAATTATGGTTTTTAGTAATTCCAAACCTTGTTAAAATTATGGTTTTTTTGTAATTTTAAACTTTGATCTATGAATTTTAAAATTACGGTTTTTTGGTAATTCTAAACCTTGATCTATGAACATATGGGCCGATTCAACGCATAAAATGGATTTGGCCAACATTATCAGATATTTTAAGGGAAATTTGGCTAAAATTACGGTATTTTCGGCCAAAATTACAGCATGTCCAACAGGTGGATAACAGGTTTTTGAGAAGACGATAGATGATTATTATTATAACTTTATACTATCTTGCCAAAAATAATAATTTTGTAACTAAAGTAAATTTGTTAAGCTTTACAATTATTGTTATATAGAAAAAAAATACTTTATTGAAATTTTTTAACAAAAATTTTAATAAATAACAAATTTACTACTTAATGCATCAAATCGGCCCATATGTTTTAAAATTACGGTTTTTTTGGTAATTCCAAATCTCGATCTCTGAATTTTAAAATTATAGTCTTTGGTAACTCCAAATCTCAAATTTTGAATTTTTCAATTTTTTTAAAAAATTATAGTTTTTGGTAATTCCAACCTTAATTTCTGAATTTTTTAAAATTATGGTTTTTAGTAATTTTAAACTTTGATCTCTGAATTTTTCAATTTTTTAAATTTTTTAAAAAATTATAGTTTTTGGTAATTCCAAATCTTAATCTATGAATTTTCAATTTTTTTAAAAAATTATGGTTTTTGGTAATTCCAACCTTGATCTATGAATTTTTAAAATTATGGTTTTTGGTAATTTCAAATCTCAATTTATGAATTTTTTAATTTTTTAAAAAATTATGGTTTTTGGTAATTTCAAATCTCAATTTATGAATTTTTTAATTTTTTTAAAAAATTATGGTTTTTTGTAATTTCAACCTTAATCTATGAATTTTTTAAAATTATGGTTTTTGGTAATCTCAAACTTTGATCTTTGAATTTTTCAATTTTTTAAAAAATTATGGTTTTTGGTAATTTCAAACCTTGATCTCTGAATTTTTAAAATTATGGTCTTTGGTAATTCCAAACCTCAATCTATGAATTTTTCAAATTATGGTTTTTGGTAACACAGGGCAGCCAAACAACCTCGATCTCTAAAATTATGTTTTTTTTTGGTGTTTCACACCTATTGAATGATTCAAAGCTAATAATCCTATACATAAAACAAATACTGATTTGTTGATTTAGCAGTTTAGCATCAACTAATCAAGAAGGATATTTAAATTTTTACATTAAATAAATTATTATTTTTTTTTATTTATTTTTATCACTAGATAATACTTTTTTTTTTCTTAAAAACTATAAAAAAAAAAATTGAATAATAAAAAAAAAATGTATATTTATATATATAATAAAATTTTTTAAATTTTTTTTTTTTTTTCTTTGTAAAAAAAATATTTATAAATTAAACATTAATTAAACATCACAACATCACATCATAACAACATAACTTCTCAACTTCACAACATCAAAACATCACAACTTCACAACATCAAAACATCTCAACTTCACAATTTCATACGCACCGCATGCATCAGGCTATCCGTACACTTTTGGACAGGTGATCGTATGCTGGTTGATACCACTACCATCTGAACGTTCATATTCATTATCGTCATCCCTAAAGTGAATAAATATTATTAATAATTAACTCTAAAAACTCTTAAATCATTTTAATAAAGATATGCAGTATATATAAATAAATACCTATAAACAAACTTCCATATCAGTCTTGGCGTGTAATTGTTCAACAGCATCTTCAGTAACTTGATCACAAGCAAAAACATATAAAGTTTTTAAGTTCTTATTACGCTTTTCTTGTATTATTTTTAAAATATTATCGTTAACAGAATTTGAATTGCAAATTGATAAAACCGTTAATGAATTGCAACCTAGAATTAATTTTTCAAAAGCCACTTGATTGAATTCAAAGAAACCTATGTTCAAAATTTCTAATTTAGAACACTGACTTATAGAAACAATCAATCTTGAAGCATCACATTCTTTCATTAATTCTGATTCAATCTCCAATCTAACTAAAGATTTTCCTATTGTATCTATAAAAAAGATCATTGAAACCATTTCTTTCGGTATGATATCCCTCTCAAAATGAACTATACTTTTACAATGATCCGCTAAAGCCTTAATTCCGGTGGATAAATTAAACTTGTCATGATCAATTTGATTTTCGATTCCTATAAGGTGAACCTTACGTAAAGTGGTAGAAGACTTTTTCGCAATTTCAACTAAAACATCAGCTGGAAGATAAGTATGGGAAAAATCTACATTGTGAAATTCACAACGTTTTGCTATAGGCATTAAAAGAGTTGAAATTGATATATCTACGGGCCAATTAATATGTCTCATATAAATTGAACGTAATTTTGAACAAGAAGCAATACCATTAAAAGGTTTTTGACAACTTTCAAGACTAGAATTAAGAATTCGAAGTTTAACTAATGTTTCAGATTGAGTTCCAAGAGCTTCCAAGGTTAAATCGATATTTTTTGCGTTTCGTATTTTAAGTTTTGTTAAACGTTTTTGTGATCGAATAAATTCTGCTAAAGCATCATCCGAACAATTTTGTGCAGGTATTTTAAAAGTTAAAAGATTGTTACATCTTTCAGTTATTTTTAAAAGAGCATCAGAATCACATTGAAAAAATCCTAAATTTAAATATCTTAAATTTACTCTATTTCCATGATTCACAAGTTGATACAAATGATCCGAAGTTACGGGATAACTATCATCATCTATTGAATCCGCAAAAGTACAATTTTTAATATTTGCTTCTTTAACAAATAATTCAAAAATTCGTAAAAACCAATCATAAATTGGTTGAATATTATCTTCATCATAATCAGGATGATAGGATATATACCAAGATTTTACACTTTGATATAAAGTAGGAACGTGTAAATTTCTTGCAAATGATACATAATTATATAAAGGAAGTTCAACATTATCGATCTCATCCGTATAATCTCTAATATCAATTCTTTTTGAAGGATTTTCATGATTTTCATCATCATCACCTTCTTCTTCTTCTCTAGAAGAACCATTAGCCGTTATTCTACTTTTGATTTCATAGTATTTGTAACACAACATATATGTATCAATTAATTGTTTGGCAACCTCCTCATCTTTCGTTTGATACAACCAATATTTCCAAGGATCCTCATATAAATAAGGAGTTGCAAGATTTTCCCACTTTGTTGGGGAAATAAAATAAAAAAAATAAATTAAAATAAAATAATAAAAAATAAAAAAAAACAAAAAAAAATATATATATATATAAAATAAAAATATTTTTACTTACTAGACGATTTACTAAAGTACAAGTATATAATAAATTACACCCATATTGTTCTTCAGAAAAATTCTTAAAAAGAACGCATAAACAGTCAGGATTTAAAATGGCCATTTTTTCCTAAAAAAGATTCCTGTTTTGTAAAAAAGCGACGACTATGTTAACATAATAATAATAATAATTAGTAAAAAAAAAAAAAAAAAAAATTTAAAAAATTCGAGAAATAAATAGGTTTCCGAGATAACTTTATTTTTTATAGTAAATTAACTCACCCGGGATATGTAATACTTGAACCACTTAAATTTAAGGGTTACTCCTCGGGTTACTCTCGGGTCCCACAAGTTAAACATACCGAATTAATCTCAGGATCACGAGTTTGTAACTAGAAACCTAGCCATTAGTAAATTATTTATGTTTATCAAAAAATTTTTCATAGAAATAATAAAAAACTAATAAAAGTACAAGCAGATGACAATAACATTATTTAAACAAAAGAGATGAAATATAATGAAATAACGTTTAAGTATCTGCGCAACATAGATTAAAAAATTCAATTTCATTCGCGAACATATGAACATAACAGGATTTTTTTGCGCCAAAAACAAATATTATTATGTGATCACGATCAACTTAAGAAAAATGGTTTTTTTTAATAGTTTTATTAAATATGGTAAAGATCGACATCACCCGATTGTTTTCGCATTTCGCACGGCCGATATTTTAATTAAACTTTTTGGTTCGGTGATTCGGTTATTAAACTTGTTTCATAAGATTTTTGGCTTTTATGATTATTCTTGTTCAAGAACAATAATATACCACTATATTTTGACTGATGTAGGTATACCATTGTTTCTCAACGAAGAAAAAGTGTACAATCGTACAATCATATTTACGATTAACCATATCAGATATACTTGAAACAATTACTGTAAGCACCTGGATCGCATCATTATGATCATGCAGTAATTGCAGCATGGTGTATTGGTGTGCTTATTTTTCGTTTCATCTCGTGCAAATAAGGACATTTTTCAATTGAATTTGGAATTTTTATAACTAAAATTATTTCTAAAATTTTTGATTTTTATTTTTTTTATTTGTTATACCGATTATCTTCTTATCGTCATTGCATTGAGATAAGCCTATAATATTCCTATAATAGATCAAATATCAATAATAATCTAAAAGAATTGTTCACACAATTTATTATTCACATGTTTATGCTGATGGATCAAATTATTCAATGGTGCTAAACTGAACAAGCTGAACCGATTTTTTTAACTTGTCCGAAAAAAACGATGGGGTAAAAAAAATCACTAGATTATCCGACAATTGATTATCATTTAGGCGGGATTCCGAATTTGCCAGAAATGATCATCATTGAAAGATAACAAATATAGATGATGATTTATAACCATTGAGTTTCAAACACCACATTTATTTTTAATGAAAAAAAAAAAAAATAAAGAAGTAAAAATAAATTAAAAGAAATTTCTTGGTTTTTTTTTAATTATGTAACTAATTTTATCATAATAGCTTCATTTGTTAATTATAATTATTTAACGATACCAAATTTATTATAGAGCATTTAAGCGCATTGTTTACTTTTTTTTTTTATCCATTCGGAACAGTAATCGGACCTAAATTCCTAAATTCCTATGATTCTAATTAAAACGTTTTTGTTTTCATTTAAATATTTTTTTGAATGTTTTCCTCCATTTGAAATACAGTATATTTAATATATTTGTTTCTAGTTGAATAAATTTTTATAATAAGGTAATTGGTAATAATAATTACAAACAAGGTAATTAATTGAATGGCTTCAGTGTGAATTTTATTAAAATAAAATAATGAACTAATTGAGTATAAATAAAAAGTAATGAATGGAAAGTAATGAATTCATAAAAGGATTATTAAGATGTAATAATATTAATACTGTAATAAAGAAACGAGGTTTTTTGTCTTACCCTTAAGTCACTTTGTGTCGATCCTTGCGTCATTTATATTATTAATCTTGAAAAAAAATTATTATTAATAGTCTGAATAAGTTTTCAATTACGGATAAAGAATTTTAAAAAATACCACCCAATTAGTAATTAAAATGTATTAGTTTAAAAGTCGGAAATTCCGATTTGATGATAATTATAGTTTTCCACATTTTTGAACCCTATTAAAAAAAACAATGTTTCGGAGTTTTAAAAAGTCACACTGTATTAAATTATTCATTAAATAAACAATTACACAATTATATATATATATATATATGATAGATATATAATTATATATTTATAAAATATATATAAATATATAAAATATTTTATAATTTATGAATGAAAAATATAAAAGAATATAATAATTAAAAGTAAATAATAATAATTAGAAAAAAAAATGTTTCAAGCCTCTCAAAAAGGTGATTAATTATGTTACTTTTTCGATCGATCAACTGTTTATCCATATATAATACCTAAATAGCACAATATTCCGTGAAATAATGCTTAATAAACCTGGTGTAACTGAACTGGGATCCAATTATTTCTATTTTTTTACTGAAAAATTTACAAATATAGTAATTCGTAATTTAAATCTTGTGTAAAACAATCTTTGGTTATTCTTTCCTTAATATAATAACTTCTAAGATTCTTTTTGATTTTTGGTCCCTACATTTCCTTATCTCTACTTAACCTTTTAAAGGTTGATCTATTATACATCATTTTATACTTTGGCCAATCAAATAATTTTCGCACCTGATTTTTTTATTTTTAAACATAATCTAATACTTTTTCAGAGACAGTGGGTTCTCCGCGATAATGTAATACCGGCTTTTTTTTTTTAAAACCCCTGCCCTGAAAATGAAAAAAAAAAAATTATAAATATTTAACAAAAATAATATTTTTTTTTTTTACCATACCTATTCTACTATTTTCGCTCTCTACTTTTCAAAGCAATTTACTTTTTTTTTTTGAAAAAAAAATTGTTACAAGTTATAATTACATTGCATATCATTCTAAAAATAAAATTCAAAACAAACATAAAAAATTCCACACTCTCTTCTTTACTTTATTTACAATAATTAACTGTTCTTTACTTTATTTAAATAATTAAAAAAAAAAAAAAAAGTCTTCAAAGTTTTCTAATTCCAAAGACGAATTTTTTTATTCCTTGTAACATAATAATCAATTATAATAATATAACTTAATAATTTAATAATAATTATAATAATAATGTTGTTTAATGTGATAAGATATTTTAAAAAAGATTATAGGGAAGCTTCGTTTAGATTTATTGTTGCTTTGATATTCATAGGTATTATTTTAGGAATATCAATGAACAAGATACTTATAGCATTTGGAATAAGAAAGTCCGAACCATTAGTAACTTTACAAATTAGTAATTTAACAACTATACCGGTATGGTCATCGTTTATATGTGGTCAAGGTTTTGCTGGTGCTACAGCTCAAATTTTAAAAAGAGGTATACCAGGTAAAACTGCAGATATAGCGACCGATTTACCTCAAAGTTCAATTCAAAGAACTACTACAGATATTTTAACTACTGGTGATTGGACCAATCAATCTGGTTCTTGGCCTTGTTTCATATTTAATCCAGGAAAAAATATGTTCTTTAACCCCGGTGAAATTGATCAAATCATTATATTAGGTTTGGTTGGTCAAGAACCTACTCCAACACCATCTGGTTTATTATTTGGTGTATTTAATAATGAAAGAGGTATATCTTCTGTTGACCCTTTTGTTAGTCCTGTTCCTTCTATTAATACTTATACTTTTACGAGTTATGAAAGAATTGATGTTTCAAATATTCCTCATTCTTACTTTTTTGTTAATAAACAAAATACTATTACAACGTCTTTCGAGAATAAACAATTAGCTGCAAAATTTGCATATTCTCCTGATACATATTTGGTAAGTGTCATTTCTTTTTATAGTAAATTTTAATTTTGGTAATTTAATTTGGTTTACTTTTTTTTTACTGATGACTATTTCTTAAATATATTAAATTTAGGTACAAAAATATACGGAAAAGGTTCAATATACGCCATATGGTAATTAAGTCTATATTATGTAATGATGCTTACTTGAAAAGGTTTAATACAGAAATTAATTATAAATTTTTTTTTTTTTTTAACAGATTTAATTTCTAATGTTGGTGGTTTGACGACTTATGCTTTGGCGGTCTGGTTTATTTTATTTGGGTAATTATTATTTTTAAATTTTTTAAATTATTTAAAATTATTATAGTATTACCCTAAATTAATTTATGATTAATATATAATCTACTTTATTTTTTACAGGAGAGGAAAGTACCGTTCATGGGGTTTGATTCAAAGATACGTTTTACGTAATTCTCCAGATGCGAGAAAAAAAGATCATAGTAATACTTTATTACCTTTTACAAATGAAAAATCTCAAGATATTGATAATAATAGTACAATTGTTAGTTCAAAAAATTTTGATGATGAAGATCGACCTTCTTCAGCATTTTATTTTTCAACTTCAGGAACTCCAACACAATCTAGATTTACAAATTCATTATCTCCAAATACTATTACACCACAATCATATTATTCATCAAAGGAATTAAATAAAAGAATTGAAGCTAAAATCAATCAAAAACTTTGGTTTGTAGAACAAACTTTAAATCGTCATTACCTTTCCGGATTTAAATTACGTAGATATGATGTTGATTTAAAAAAATTGGGATTTGATACTTCATATGATGATGATAATAATGAAAAAGTAGCTTTAACTCCACCAACAATTCATCATAATTGGAATAATTTTGATTCAAATGTTCAAAACAATCATAAGAGTATTCAAATTCCTCATTCCTTAACTCCTGGTAATAAAAGTAGTAAAGATAATTTAAATCCCGAAGAACAAAGAGCCCAATATCCAAATGTGGCAATAGGACAAGTTCCTTTGGAGAAGAAACAAAGAGGAAGGAATAGTGGAGCAGGAAGTGGAAATTATCAACAATTTGTTAATACGTCTACAAATGTTTCAACCGGAGTTGCTACAACATCACCATCATCATATTATGGTCAAATACCCCAAATTGATAATGTGAACAGTAATGTGAATGTGAACAATAATTCAACAATATTATCACTTCCACCATTGCTACAAAGTGGTGGTCCACCACAGGGAGATACACCGCAAGGAGGTGCACCACAAAGTCCACCACCACCACAAGGTGCATCACAAGGTCCGCCACATCTTTCACCATAAAAATCCGGAATAATCTTGGGTGGTTTGGATATTATTATTGGGGTATATTAAGTTATTGGATTATTGGGGTATATTAAGTTATTGGATTATTAGGGTATATTAAGTTAATGAAATATATTAGGTTAATGGAGTACATTAAGTTAATGGAGTATATATTAAGTTATTCGACTTGACACCACTCTACTCAAATAACTGTAGACTCACATGATGGAAACATTACTCTAAATTGATTCACTATAAAATTTAATATTTATATAAAAAAAAAAAATTTATTTGTATAGTGTAAAAAAAAAAAAAAA